ATGATCTGGGGTGTCACTGTTGACCAGCCAAAAGGTTTAGGATTTGGTCAGAAGAAAGACACACCTGTCATATTACATCTTCAAGTTTTATACTTGAGATAGGCTGGGTGGCTTAGAGAGGGAGAATTTTCCATTGTCATGAACATTCATAGGTATGTGTAGATAACTGTAGGAAAGGTTATTGCTTATGTCCCATTTATCCATTTATGCTTCTACACATGCATTCAATCATCAAACTACTTACTGAACATATGATTTGTGTCAGGCCTTGTGGATACAACAATGAATGGAACATAGTCCTTGACTTTAAGGCCTCACAGTCTCATGGAAGAAGGAAAACAAATATCAGCAGTTATTATCCAGTCTGATGAGTGCTTAAATAGGAGTGAACACAAGATATGGTATGAACCAAATTATATGCTCCATGAGGGTGGGGACTTTGTCTTATACATTACTGTGTCCTGAGCACAGTACCTGGAACATACTAGGCATTCTGTACAGAATAAAGAAATTAGCTGGGAGTAGGAGAAACAGCTTCTTAAACAAATTTATCAAGTATTTCTTGTACATCTGTCATATTAGGTACTGTGGATACAGCAAAGATCAAAGCACAGTTTGTACTCTTGGGAACATCATAAGCAGCAAATCTTATGGGGCTCCTGGAGAGGAGATCACTGTGATTAAGCTTTTACGTGTGGGTCCTTTCATAATAACTGAGTGGAGGAGATGTGGGGATGGTCATGTTCATGTTTTTCAGCAGGAAATGTCTTCTAGATCTTTACCTATCTCTTATGTGGAGGTATTCTCTAACTTTTCAGGGCCAATAGCCCTTAGCAGTTCTTTTTTTAGCTGTATTCATTTGCTTTGAGTTTTCTATTAAGACATTTTTAGAAGTTAGCAACTTAAATTGAGTTTTCTAGAATTAAGCCTCAAGGCTCTTTCACCCACTGAAATTTGTTTGAATTGCTATACTACTGGAAGGACTGATAAGGTTTAAGGTTTAAGACTGAGGATATACTGAAGGAATGTTGCCTCTTATTTGGTGAAATGCATGTAAGGACTAAAAAGACTACTCAGAGAACTAATTGAGTTCCTGAGCTCATTAGTTGAAACTATTTACAAAGGGATTTTTAACTACAGTACATTATTCTGCTTATGGGAGGAAGACATGTCAGCCTAAGACGGGCTAAATGACTAGGAGACTAGTAGCAGGATACAGAGCCTTTCATTTTTGTGTAACTGGCTTGTCTCATGGAGACTGGTAGTGAATGAACAACTGCCATCCAATTATTGTGCAGTTACTATGGGAAACAAATTAATCATCAGAGCTTAATTGCTAGTAGAGACATTTCCCAGACTTCATAAATTGCGTGCACAGTTGATGCCTTTGTTAATAACATAATAACATGAGTAAATAGAAAGCATCTGAGACTGATGCAGGAGGATGTTACTTTTAGGGCTGGCCCATTTACAATTTCATCAAAGCATCCTTGTTCTCTCTGGTATACATATTATTTGACGCTGAATATAGGGCTGAATTCTTTTAGGAACTGTAGCTAAGTGAAACATAATTTATGTGACTTACTTCCTTTTTGATATTTTGATGTTTCTTGCCAGGTCATCCTCTTCAATGAATTGAGATGTAGCCCTTCAAATTAAATGGATTTTTTCCATTTTTTCCTAATTTGCACTGACACATGACTTCTTAAAATTGTTATTGTTCTTGCTGTGTTTATAGAGATGTGGACAGAATTTCACACCCAGGGAAAAGAAAAAAGAGTACCAAGAAAAAAATACTTATTCTTACTCTGTGGGTTAGGAAGCCTGCTGCACTGTCTCCTGTTGGTCTCCTGCTTCTGCTGCTGCTGTTTCTCTGCCACTGCTCTTTGCCAACTTGCACTATCTACAGTGTTACAGTTCTCTGTTTCATTCTTCTGGATCTAGGAGGTTCTCAGTGCCTTGAACTCAGGTTCAAAGGGCACACTTTGCTCCCATCTCTTCTTTCTGGTGTTACTGTGGTCATCCCTTTCTACCTCTCGGGTGGCTCATTTTAAGCCTAGCAGGATGGCAAAACTGATTAATCCCCTTTTTAGGGTTCCATATACCTTATTTGCATGGTCCCCCCCCCCAAGAGGGTACTCTGCACCTTATTTGCATTACTAGCAAGCTGTCCAATCCCCTTGGTGGGCCACAAGCACCTTATTTTCAGTCTCATCCAATCATTTGGTGGGAGTTAGAGACCATGGCAAGAAAGGCTATGTGTAAATGTGGTCTGTCGCACGTGAGGTGCCCCACTCCATTGGCAATCTCTTGCCCAACTCTCTTGGTGACCTCCTGCCCATTGCCACCATCTGCTTGTCTTACTATTCCTGCTGCTTGCACTACTACTACCATTTCTCTGCCACTCAGCTCTCCTGTGATTGCTGCCATTTCTCTTAGTCTTCTGTGTTAATCAACTCAATGTTAATAGTTCTTAGTCCATGTTACAACTCCTTTATTTGAGTTTAGGAGATTTTCAGTAGAGAGACCCTGGGTCCAAAGAACGTGCTTCTCTCCAGGCTCTTGTTGATCAGAAAGTCCCTCAGAAACCTCTGAGATTGGCCACTTACACAGGAGAACTCCTTGTTAATTCAAGGCATGGCTTTTTATAAAGCAACTAATTCCTTAGGTGGATCATAAATCAGTCCTTTTAGACAGATTTCAAGCTACCAATGTGGATAGCAAACCAACCAATCCTTGCCAGCTGCTTAGGTGGATAGCAAACAGACCAATCACTTGACAGATTGTGGCCCTACCAATCATTGTGAGAAAACTGAAAACCCAGGGTCAGAGAGGCCACGTAAAAGAAACCCACTGCACCACAGTTATATCATCTCTTTTGTAGAAAGGCTGAAAAATGATACAGATACTTTACCTGTAAAGATTTTTACTTTAGATATCATATTGTTTAATAATTGGAGGGAGCTCTGGTAGCATAGTGCCTAAGGCACTTGACTGCTAACCAGGAGGCTGGCGGTTCAAACCCACCAGCCACTCCTCGGAAGGAAGGTTGGGCAATCCTACTTCCGTAGTGATAACTGCCTCGGAAACCCAAGGAGGGGTCGCTATGAGTCGGGGCCGACTCGATGGCAAATAACAACAACAACAACAATAATTGGAGGATAGATTGTCAGTACAGATGTAAAGAGAAGACAAATATAAATAACACATAATTGAATGAATATGTATTATTTTCAATGGTCATAATAAGAGTAATAGGGTATTTATAGTTTTTATATTTGTCATTTCTATGATTTTCTATATTGAGAAGTATTTTAAAGAGATACTTTACCCTAGTAATACCTATTTTATTTGGGGAATAACTGGCACAAAGAGATTGACCTATTGTTTCCAAATTACTTTGGAACATAAATTTTAACCTTGGTCCATTATGTTGGATTCTTTTGGGAGTGTAGAACATCTAGAATTATTTGGGAGAAGTTATTAGAGTATATTTTTATGTTATGGCACTAAATTAACCCTGGAATCTCAATTTTGTATTTGTTACTCACTTAGAAACCATGTAAGTTGACTTTCTTGTCCTTTTGAAGTAACTCCAGTGGTTTTTGATAACTTCTGTGCTGTCTGGTATAATGATGCTTCAGGTTCATCTTCTGCATTTCCTATCCTAGACCTTGATCAGCTAATTACAAATTACTTCAAAGAGGCCCTGATTCCCTTTAATGGAGATTACAGAGAACACAATCTGGTCCTAGGGTTGAAAGTCACCACTCCTGAGTTGTCAGTAGTACTTATTTTTAAAATTTTAGAGAATATATCATAGAGAAAATTTATATATTTGTAGATAGGCAGTTTAAGGAATAACAGTAAAACAAGTACCAGTATTCTTACTACCAAGCTTAAGAAATAGAACAAAACTAGTTTCCTTGAGTCCCCTTTGTGCCATACCCCACCCCCATTACTCCCTGGTGGTAACCATTATCCTAAATTTTTTGTTAATCTTTTCTCAATAGTTTAATTACATATATTTCACCACTACACAGTCTGATTTTTTGATTTATTTGCTTTTGATTTTTTAAAAGTAGATTGCATTTATTATCCCATGACTTTCTTTTGTGTTTCAACATATTCTTTTAAATTCACCCATGACAATGCATGTTACTGTCATTGATTTCTTTTCACTGCCATTTAATAAGAATTTCACTGTATGAATAGTCTCAATGTATTCATTCTTTTGCTAGTGAATATTTGGGATGTTTTTCATTTTTTAATTTTCAAACAGATACTATTATGAATAAAGGTGTGTGTGTAAGAATTTAAGGTGTATACTTAGGAGTGGAATTACTGGGTGGTAGGGTGTGTACATCTTCAACTTTACTAAGTAATGCATATTATTTTCCAAAGTATATACTCAGCAGTGAATGAAAGTTCCCAGTATTGTCACTTGCAATGCTCAGTATGGACAGATTTTTAATTTTTGCCAGTCTGATGTGTACAAAACAGTAGCTCATAGTGGTTTTATTGACCATTTTCCTGCTTTATCTGTTTGTGTTACTTTTTTGTGGGATGGTCATTTACGTCCTTGTACATTTTTCTGTTGAGTTTTTGATTATTAAATCAGAGGAGTCCTTTGTACATCCAGGATATTAATCTTTTGCTGGTTACATATATATTACAAAATACTTTCTTCCAGTTTGTGGCTTGTTTTTCACCATCTTTACCCTTTGAAGAAAATTTATTAATTTTAATCTAGCTAAATTTACCAGTTTTTTTTTTCTTTATGGTTTGTAACTTTTATATCGTGTTTAAGAAATCTGTAAGATTGCATATATATCCTTATCATTTTAACTTCTAAAGGTTTTAAAGTTTACTTTCTATTTTGAAGACTATAACTCATCTGAAATTTGATTTTTGGGTATGGTGTGAGATAATGTATGTGCATTATGTATTCAGCATGGTCATTAAATAGTTATTGTGCTCTTATTCCATTTAAAATCAAGCTTGCAAGCAGAAGTCTCAGACAACAGATTAAACCAGCAGTGACGATAAAGCTACACCTTAATGAGAATGGCAGTCACACCACCAAAGTTCTGCAGACAGACCCAGCTACCCTGCTCCATTTGGTTCAGCAACTGGAACAAGCATTGGAGGAGATGAAAACAAACCACTGTAGGAGAGTTGTCCGCAACATCAAATAGTACCAGTATTAAGGTTTTAATTCTTTTAAAACATTGGTGAATTCATAATATACAGCAGTTACTTCCCATATATATGTATTTTTTAATTGGTGGTGATAAATACATCTAGTTCAGGTGAATTTCCTTTCCTGTGCCAGGATATTGAGATCATGGTCATAAGCTAAAGTTCCTTTCCTGGTGCTAAATGTGGTCAGCTTCTTGACAAATTAACCTGTTTTTTATATTAAAAATGTGTAAATAAGATTGAGTCACCTGAAAATGAATCTATACTGTTCATATTTTCTGTATATATGAATTACTATCTCCTGTTTTTGATACTTCTTTTGACTGCTTAACTTTTTTTCCTCCTTATTAACCAAATTTGAAAATAAAGTTCAGAATGTTGTGATTACTCTCCAGAATATTTTAAGACAATTGTTTTGACTTTCAAAAGCACCCCACAATGTGAATAGCCACAGAATTGTTGTTTGATGCTGTCATGTCACTTCCAACACATAGCGACCCTGTGTACAACAGAACAAAACACTTCCTGGTCCTGTACCATCCTCACAATCATTGCTGTGCTTGAGGCCCATTATTAGAGCCACTGTGTCAGGCCATCTCATTGAGGGTCTTCCTATTTTTCATGTCTTCGGTCTTCCTTATTCATCATCCAGCTCTCACATGTATATGAGGCAATTGAAAATACCATGGTTTGTGTCAGGCACACCTTAGTCCTCAAGGAGACATCTTTGCTCTTCAGCACTTGAAAGAGGTCCTTTGCAGCCGATTTGCCCAGTGCTATACATCATCTGATGTCCTGACTGCTGCTTGCATTGGCATCAATTGTAGCACCAAGTAATATGAATTCTTTGAAAACCTCAATCTTTTCTCCATTTATGATAATGCTGCTTATAGGTCCAGTTGTGAGGATTTTT